AGGAGGTGGTCTGCCACAGATTTGCTCTTTAAAAAGAGGCAGGGACCGAATCGTTAAAATCTCCTCTGTGTCATGCTCAGTTGCTTGAACTTTTGTAGCCTTTTCTCCCACTCAAACTACCTCAAGCAGGAGAGGGGGCTGGAGCAGCTGTGGGAGCCCCTGGCCATGGCGTACAAAGCCCACTTGTTATCAGCACTGTCATATGCCTCTCTGCCCCCTCCCCCTTCCCAGCCCCACCACAACCACTACATCCCGAAAGCACAAGCTGAGCATCCATCAAAAGGGCTATTATCCTATGATTTCTTAACAGCCACTGTTGCTCTTGGGTACAGAGAACCAAGCTCCCCCTTTGACACAGTCCCCAAGCAAAGGAATAGTGGTGCTTGTTGCTGGCTAGCATGCTGATTTGCAGCCTGTCATGGTGGCCAGGGTGGGACAGGGGGCTGCTGCCTGCACTTGGGGTTGCATTAGCGATTTAGGGCTTCATTCCAGACCTACAAGGTAAATGAGTCCTACAGAGATCATTCTTTGGGCCTCCAGATATTAGCAGGACTGGTAACTCCTATGGATGTTGGTTAAGAGTCCACATGAGGATTTAATTCTTTATGGCTGATGTTTTTAATCTGCTCTTCCCAGGAAAAAGAGGCTGGATTTTGAGGGGTTTTTTTAATTGTGTCTCATGGTGTTAGTTTTGATCAAAAGGGGCACCTACGGCCCCAGGTATATTCTCTTCCTACAGCAAGATGGGGTGTCAAGGGTGGTGACAATCTCCCCAAAAGCATGGAGGAGTCCCAGGGGCAGGGGCAGGCGCTGTGGAGGGCAGCCAGCACATCTGCCTGGGCAGGAAAGGGAGGGCTGGGGGAGAAAAGGAGCATGACAAACAAAGCCACCAACCCCTGGAGTAGGAAAAGGGTCTGTAGTGAATAGAGAGGCAGTTTCCAGGGACGTGCGCATTGACCAAAGCAGTTCATTGGGCGACATCAGATATTAACATCCCGAGAGCCCGCTGAAGGACGGCCCTTTGCTCTTTCGCCAGGCAGGCAGTAGGTGCCGGCACTGGTTGCACCTGGGTCCATCACAGGTGCATTTATTCTTGCTGCGTATGAGCAGGCAAACCAGTCACAGTGCAGATGATGCCACCCCACTTCCACCCGAAAGATCTACCAGCTGTGATACCACGGGCAAAGCTGGAGTCCTGGCAGGGACAGGAAGACGCCCCAGCATGTCGGGGACCAGGGCCAGGAGAAGATCTGTGCACCATAGATGGAAACTAAGATTTCCTCAGTTACACAGTGTGGAGCATAACTGATAAAAGGCATCACATTTTTTCCTGGTTTCTTTTTTTTTTTTTTAAGTCCCCTGGAGTAAAGGGCACTCTTGGCACTAGGAGTCTTGGGAACTGGGCAGCTTTGCTGGCCATGAGCAATGCTGAACCCATCTGCAGAGAGCTTTGCTTTTTTTGTCTGCCCGCAGAGAAACTCCCTGTTGGTTTATGCCTGTTTGTCTTCCTGTTCTCAGGGGGTCTCTCTTACAGCTGACACATTGAAAACAAGACTCGGTGATGGTCTCACGTCTGCCAGCAAGGGATGATGCTTGCAGCTCTGGTCAGCCTGAAGTTTCCCTTTGTGCCATCAGAGTTGCTCCAAGCCATGTGCCTTGTTGCTGAGTCAGCATTTTGGAAAACAATATGTTGGAAGGTATATGGCTGGCTAGGACATGTGGTCACGTCTTAGAGGGCTTTGTGTACTGTTTTCCACTTGAGAGGGCTTTTTTAGTGCAAAGTTTCTTGGCCATTGAGAAAATACCTAAAATGAACAACGATGAATAACTGTACTGGAGAAGCCGCAGGAGCTTACAGCCATGCAAAAAGCTATCATTCTTGGTCCCAGACCTTACAGACAATTGTTTTATGAAAAATTGAGGTTGTTCAATTTTCCACTGAAATCTTTGGACATAAAGAGGATGATTTTACTAGGAAAAAAAATAATTTTCATTATCCCATAATCCCAAGGCCCCTGGCATGGGAAAGGTTTTTCTGCTTGGAGGGAACACCTCAGGACAGTCATTCAGCAGGTCCAGTGCTGTTCCACTGTGAACCTAGGATGAATTTTAAATCTGGTTTTCCTTCCCTAAGGTGTCCCTGACTTTTCACTAAGAAAGCCTGCTAAGAAAATTATAGCACCTCAGCTATTAGAAAATTATAGCACTCTTATTGAAAAAAAAGCAGAGGTGCTTTTCAAACTTCTAGGTATGAAATTCGGGTGCTTGAATTTGGGGAAGTTCACCATCCTCCAAAATTAGCCAGCCATACAGACCTCAGGTACAACTTCAGCTGGCCGGGTTAGAGCTGGCTTCTTTCATCTAAACCTTTTAAAATAGGGAAAACATTGGAAATTTGAACCACTCATTTTCTAAGCTAATTTTCCCCTCTCACAGATGAGCTGTGTCTCTGTGCTAGAAGAGAGGTTTCTGTCATGAAGGCGGCATTTCTGAGAGCTAATTTACTTGTTCGACTGGGCGCGCTGGCACTGGGATCCTGCACGCAAAAAGACGCAGCAAGTCAGTTGCAAGCGGTTTGCTTGAAAGAAGAAGCAGGAGGTGTGTTAAGCAGATGTCTTCATGGCAATATGGCAAATTAAGTGGAGGAGTTCCCATATTTTCCTGTGTTTCTGCTTTCTGTGGGGTCTCTGGACTATTTTAATAACTGATCAAAAAAGAAGGGAGAGCATGAGCAGCCAGCTGTAACTGCAGAAGACCAGCTAGCTGGTATGTTAGCAAGCAAAAAGGTTTGCAAGCTGCAGTACTGCCAAAATTCCCTGAAGGAGAAGAGTTTGCTGGGATGATTGGTTCCCGAGAGGTAAATTTTTTCTGTGATAACTGCTGTGCATATTTCTACCTTCTGTTTTTTTATTCGGGGCTTGGATTTCCCATTATGCAAGTCTATTCGCTTTTTATTCCACTGTTTTCTCCTGAAATGTATGAGTCTAGGAATGCTTGCGCTACAGGAGACGTAGCTTAAGCAAGGAACTGAGCTAAGGCCCTGACCAAGGTGGGGGGAGACCTGGGGTGGGATTTTTTTTCCTAGTTTCAGACAATTTAGATGCTCAAAAGTAGACACCACAGGTCAAGCGCTTGGGTGAGGGAAGACCACTCCTTTTCCAGCCTGCCCTAAAGAGCAGCTCAGACACTACAGGGAGCAAAACCTCATCCTGCTCCCCAGCCTTCCAGGCCAACCCAAATTTGGGATTTTTTTCCTAAGATGCTGTCTGCATTTTTTCACACGGTGGGATGAAATCCCGCATTCAGTCACTGCAAACTTGTCTTTCTTTCACAGCATCCCCTCGGGCTGAACTTCATCGTGTCCTTGTCTGGCGAGGATGAGTGAACAATCTGGCTCCCAGTGTCTTCCAGCTGGGGCTGGGACTGTCCTCAAGCCCGGTGTGGGGGAGCGGGGTGTGGGTGCGCTGTCTGTGTCCCTGCAGTGCGGGGGTGCCTGTAGGACCCTACGGGGTCTGTGCGGGGCCGCTGGGATATGTGGGTGCCTGCAGCCCCCCGAGGGGGTTAACACCCACGGGAGATGTCCCTGAGACGGTGCATGTCTGCGTGAGCGCCGCCGGGGGGTGGGGGGCCAAGGCATTTGGCACTTTGGAAAATGTTGCTCCTGAAGCCAGGGCTGACTACTTGCCAAAAGGCAAGATGTTCATTGATTTTTAAGTTCTTTGAAGACAGCAGTCAGGAATCAGACCAGGGAAGAGTGGTGAGAGATGGGGCTTGGGCCAGTCAAAGCAACTGTCATGGGAGATGCAGCTGACCAGACTTGCTATCCCAGCCTTTCTTGGATGGGGAACCAAACATCTTGCAGAGCAAGCTAATGGTCCTTGACCAGTGCCAGGTGAACACAAATAAATGTCAAGCACCTTCCATGGTGCCAGATTGGGAAATAAACCTACCAGACTCTTCCCAGTCCAGTTGCTGGGACTCTCACAGAAAAAAGCAGTAGTCTCCAGCACTGTGGAGCAACTTCACTGGGAGCAGCAAACACCACCTGGCTTCGTGCCAGAGTACCCCAGGGTCTGATGCTCCCGCTGCACCCAGAAGACATAGCTAGGTCTGGAAAAGCCATCACCAGAGAAAGAGCAGACACACAGACACGAGGCACTGCAGGAGACCATGCTGCTAATTTCTGCCTCTCTCCAATAAGACTGGCTTTTCTCCTTGCTCCTCAGCGGTGCTTGGTGTTTACAGGCGCTGGGAAACATTTGCTCCTTGCACTCCTTCCAATGGAGCGTGGGAAAAGCTCTCACCAGAAGCAAAAAAACACGGGAATTTGCTTTCAAGTCTATTCTTCTCACTCTCTTTCTCTCCAAGTGAAAAGCCCTGAGCTGGCTTTTTTTCTCTGCAAGGCAAGTTTTCTGGCCAACGCAAACTGGTGTTTGTCTCTCATGCTGTCAGCAGAGTGACAGGCATCAGTACAAGCTGAGGGGCATGGCAGTAAATCAGCCAGGACAGAGGGAGTGGTAGCAGGGCAGACGAGGCCTGTGTGCACCTTCCCCCTCTTTTAGAGAAGCAAAACAGCACACTTCACCTTCAGTAGAAACAAACAAGGACTTGGGGGGCATTTTACTCCCAGAGGATATATAGAGCCCTCGGTTTAGTGCTTGGGCCACTGAGGCAGGCAAAGAAGAAAGGAAAATTAGTGTGAAAAAAAAAAAAAGTTTCCCTCCCTGTT